AATCACCAGAATACAAAGGCAGAGCCAAACCGCATAACCGTATTTACGATTTCTGCTTGCACTATAGCCATGAAAATTCCATGGGCCAAGTGAAATAAAATGGCCAAGCCCAAAGTCGCTGAGGGGAGAGAGTGTATGCCATTCCCAGTGGAAGGGAGATAGAAGTGAATATTTGTTGAACAGTAATCTAAGTTATCACATTATCCCCAAACCATTACATCCACATTTTTGTTAACTACTTTATGTAAAATATGAAAAAAACAGCCAAGTACCACTATGGATTTGAGGAAAGCTTCTAACACTGTGGAGTGTTTAAAACAGAGACACAGAAAACAGGAAACTGAGGTGATTTATAATGAGCAGAGGAGAACATTTAAAGTACTAAAATATTCTAAGAGATAAGAGGTTATATCAATAAAATAAAAACATGCTGTATAAAGCAATAAAAACAAGAAATAGCTCATGGAAATGAGAAATATGGGAGAAATAGTTTCTTAAACTCAGTAGAAGTTTTAGAAGATGAAGTCAAGATAATCTTCCAGAAGTTAGAATCAAAGACAGAGATAGAAAATGTAAGAAAATTAGATGATTAATTCAACAGAGCTAAAGTCCAATATCCAGAAGTTCCAGGAAGAGGAAATATTTAAATATATGACATTAAAGTGTTTTAACATAATAATACAAGGAAACTTCCCTAAACTGAAGACACCAAACCTCCAGATTTCAAAGAGTCCCCAGAGCACAAAGCATGACAAAGGCCTAGTCCAAGGTTTAACATTGTAAAATTTCAAAATGCCAGGAGGAAAAATAATTATGAAAGTGTTCAGAAACAAAAATGAAATCGTGGGCCAAGTATTAGGAATCAGAATGGCATAGGACTTTTCAGTTGAGATATTAGAATCTTGAGGACAGTGGAGCATCCCTTTAAAATCCTGGATGAAATTTAATTTCATCATAAGTTTTTATACCTAGCCAAACTATCAAGTATATGCAGAGAATAACAGCATTTTCAGGTATACAGATACTTTAAAATGTATTATTCATGTACTCTTTTTATGAAACTTACCTGGAGAACATGCTTTCACCAAAAAAAAGTAAACCTAAAAGCAGAATGATTAACAACTCAGAAAACAGGGAACTCTGATAGGATCATGGGTAAGGCTTGACCCAATGCAAAGTCCAGCCAGGCCATACATAAGGCACCAAGAAAATATATCCAAGGAATAAATTTAAAAGGAACTGATAATTTATCTGATGTGTTTCGTTATTTGGAAAAATACTACTGATGAGCATTTGACAGATCTGTTTGATCATTTGTGGGGGTATGTCAGTTACCTAGAAGAATAGTATGTTAAAAAATAGGCAATTAATTCCAGAGATAATAAAATATGTACAAGAAAATGACTTCAAGCAAAATAATGCTCGTCTCAATAGTGAAAAATATTTCTGTAGTCATTATAATGTAAATGGACTACTGACTAATGACTCAACCAAAATTGTTACATGGCAGGATGAGGTGGCTCTATTGGGTGGATGGCATAAAAGATGTAAGTCATTACCTATTTTAACACAGGAAGTCAATATAAAATATCTAACATTGCAAAAATTCAAGAAACAGCATCATAAGCATGTCATTTAAAAATGTGAAGATAAATATCAGAAGAGTGGAGAGTGTGTGCCTTTTGAGGATTAGGCTGGGAGGTGGCGGAGGAGTTGACCATGGCGCCGTCCTTCTTGGTTGTGAACAATTGAGCAGAAAATGTAATGAATAATAATAATAATAAAGCTCCATGTGTCCATGATTAAGAAAAAACTTCCCACAGTGTAGATTATCAATGAACAGTAACGAACCCTCCTTTCTCCGCATGCAGTCCTCGGTACTTTCTTGTTCGGGTGGTCACATTCATGACTTGCAATGTATCGTCTCTTTTGGTAAAGTGTAGAGATGGCCGCATCAAACTGCATCGCAGACACTGCAGGTTAACAGTGGGCTTTAAGAGTAACGTACAGTTGGCCTACGCCTGGTGCTGGTCTTTCGTCCCGGAGCCGCTATGTACAGCCGAGGGAGCAGCGCTGACCTAGTTGGGTGAGGCAAAGGGCTGTCCTGCCAGAGGGAGCGTGGCATTTCTGGCAAGAGAGCCCTCTTCTGACTGTTGCAGTTGGTGCCATGGCAGATTTTCCCAACTCGGGGAGTAGGTGTTGAGCCCTGGTCCAGCTGGTTAGATTATTTGTTGATTTTGATTATCTGCACCAATAAGCTCGTTTCCTGGCGCAGAGCATCAGAAGCGGGCACTAGTGTTCTACCTTCCTAACAAAAATGCTTTTTGCATTTGGACATGATAATAAAGTTTTATTCCGTTTTCACCGAAATAGTCCTTTATGGGGGAAATGTTGTTGAATTAAATCAAGAACTTTTTTAGTCTGCAGGGATAACCGTATATCCTCAGGCAAGTTATTTTTTCCACTTATCTTTGTACTGTTCTTAAAAGATAGAGAAGAAATCACAAATAATAGTAATGATACCTGCCGTGTTTAATTCAGCTCTTATTTTGTGCTAGACGCACTGCTAAATACTCATAATCTCATTTAATCTTCACAGTAGTTTTAAGCGCATGCTACAGTTATCACTCCCATTTTAGACTGAAGAAACTGAGTAACTTGTCCAAGGTCACAGAGCTGGAAGGTGCCAGAGCTGCATCTGAAACCCTGATTTGTGTTGACTCTTGGGCCTGCCTTAATCTCCAAGTGTGACTGGCTTCCAGTGCAGCATCTGAGTTTTTATCACATGAGATTAAGAAAGCAGATCACTTATACTTACAACCTCATTGTCAATGTAAGGTTATATATGCTGTCACTGAGTGGTACTTATAAAAATTGTTGCATCTTTTCTTTTTAAGGAAGTTTGGAATTTTATACATTTTCTATTTCTGTCATTCTTTTTTGTATCCTCTGAATTCAAAATTCTAGAGACATCTTGGGTGTCTCCTGATATGTCTCCTTTTATTTCCATATATACACACATGTTCTCTCTATATTTCTGTTTTAATATGTATACTAATGTCTCTACTCCTCATGTCTGAAATATTGCAAGTGACTCCCGTTTCCCTACTGGTTGTCTCTGCCATCTTAAATCAGTCATGCACATTGAGCTTCTCCGATATTGCATACTGTCTAGACCATTAATATTTCCTCCTTTATATATAAGAAAAATGCAGTTTTAATAATCTAGAATTCAAGACCTTTCATAATGAGGTCTAATCTATCATTCCATGAGTTTATGTGCACTTACCTTCTTTCCCACTTTCTTGCCCCTGCTACTATATTTCTAATCTGGCCTTTTAAAGCATAGATTTTCTCTAATACTCATTTGTTGTTTTTTTATATGCTTTGTACGTCAATGGTCTTTGTGTGTGTGTCTTATTTACCCCACTGAATTGTTAACTCTTGGGTATAGATGGAAACTCTCTGGGTCCAACATAGTATATGTGTGCATATAACACTGTGTAGAAAAATTAAGGAGTTAAATTTTAAGGTCAACATATAATTTATATTCACTACTTCTTTGCTTTTGTTTATTTCACAAATGTCAGACAAATAAAACTAAATAGATTTTTCTAGTTTTTTATGTCTTTAAATATATTTAATTATGAAATAAATTATATTGGTATAACTTTAACAGTTTAAAATATTTTAAAGAAACAAGTTTTATTAGTATTCTAACCTGAAACATAGAAAATCTACTTCAGATGAAAGTGATACACTCATTATTACATAGCTTTTTAAAATTAAGATGACATTTGAGAATTTGTAATGAGTTATTTTATTATGTTGATCGTAATATGTGGTTTTGATGGGGATAAACTGAATATTTATAGTGTAATAAATGTTAAAAGAGAACTACTTGGTTTTTGTTGCCTGATGTATTAAGTATAGTTGGAAATCATTCTGACTATTGAGTAATGACATGAGGATATTTGAAATGTGCTTAAATACTCAGTTTAAAACAATTTAATTAGGCACGATTTTGTTTTGTGAAAGGTGATTGCATTTTTTGTATTTAAATTGCTTCTTGCCTGCTGCTGAATTTAAAAATGTTTCTGCCTTTTATTTTCCCTTTTTTTGTTTTTCTTGTCTTAATAGTATAAATCTGATCTCTTTTTAAAAAAATTTTATCGGTCTTCTATAATAAATAAATATTTCTCCTTTAATGTATAAATTATTTAAAACTATGTTCTATGGAAGGCATATTTGCTTTGAAATGTTTGAGTTTCATGCTGAGACCAAAAAAGTAACCAACATAAATTTTCATATATTTTAGATGTTCATGTTTATTAATCTGAGAGTGCTTTTGTTGTTGCCTTTTTATAATGCAGCTTTAATGTAATATTATTTTAGCTCAGAAATCTTATACACTCTAAGTGCTTAAAGGTTCTCATGCTGTATTTTTTTCCTAAATTCTTTGTTCTAAATAACATTGAGCATGATTGTGATACCTTCTTTTACACCTCACATTTTTCTGCAGGATATCTTAAATTATTTTACCCTTTAATTTGGTGTTCAAAATATCCAAATAAAGCCATAAATATATCTTTCAGAAGAGAGCCACATATTTGATGTAAATTATTTGCATGTGTCTGATGTAGTCTCCCAAACAAAAATGTTACATTTTAAAAGCAGTGACATTTTAAGTTAATATTATTTTTAAAGGGACTGAGCCTTAGAATGAAAATACAGACCATGCATTCTGACTACTCTCTTGTAATTATTTCATTTTTAAAACGATTTTATCTTACGGTCCAAAAAAATCAATAAATAACGTCACTAATGTGCATTTTTGGCTTTGTGGATTCCCTTTGTCACCAAATGGAAGTTAGCCTCAATTTCCTAATAATTTTTTTTTATCACAGTCAAAATCATGGCAAAAACAAAAATGAGGGAATTTGGAATTCCAGTGCATGTATTTTATAGGGGATGCTTTTTTCCTTGCCTCCCTACCTAAGGAAATAGAGAAACTGACATTAGGACTGAGCGAGAGCAAGCAGCTCTTGGAGCAGGAGCAGCAGAAGGCGGCGGGGGCCAGAGAGGAGCTCCTGAAACTGACGGAGCGGCTGGGCGATGCTGAGCGCCAACTGCACCTCACCAGGTACTCCCTAATCCCATTATGCACCAGAGCCCCGATTTCATTCCACTGATTTTTGCCACAGGCTTCCAAACAGTTGTTCGAGTTCGTCTTAGTCATTCAGTTCACCCACAGCTTTCAGGCATATTAAGAAAAGTGGAGATGTGGTAAGCAAAACACCCAGACATGTGAATGATAAGTGTGGCAGGGAATTACTGATATATCACAAAACCTTTCATCTACAATGCTCAAATATTTAGGCGATTCTCTATCAGTATAAGCAAAATGACATATTTCTCCTACCGCCACCTCTCTTGTTAATCCTATGTCTAATAAAAATGTCGAACTGAAGGATCTGAGTGATACACTTAGGAAAATAATCAGATACTGTCAGTGGTCAAAGAGGCAAAACAAAAGACATCCTGAGATGCAAATTGAGATGGAACTGATACAAAATAAGGAAGCCGAGTCTAAGGATATGTAAAATCTCGAGATGAAATTGATTGGCACTATTCATGTTTAAACCATTGTTATAACCAAGCTTCTAACATCGAGGCTTCACTTGACGTTGTTTCTATCATGAGATATTGTGCTATGATCATCGTCATAAAACTTCAGTAAACACATAACTCAGCCCTAAATTACAATAAGATATTTTTGATAGCAAACATTTTATAATTTGCTATATAGAAAACACACATATACACAAAAATATAGCAGAGAAAAATTCAAACTGAGATTGTAGCTATTTCACATTATCCTGTAAGTGATTTCTTCTCACTTTAAGCTTTAGTATAATCAGTTTTCAGGTCAAGCCTTTGGTTTGTTTTGGGGTTTTTTTTTTTCAGTTTTTGGAGTTCTCATTTTTTTAGGGAGAACTTTGTCTAAATGCACATGTAAATTTATGGTATTTGGTTTGGTTTATGATTTATAAAAACGCTGGTCTTCTAATCATAGTAATATGTTGAATTTAAACTATGAAAAGGGACTGCTCCCTTTTACATTAAATATGACAATGTAGTTCTGAGCACAGTATGATAGCAGATGGAGAAAAACGCCACTTGAACAGCCTGCATTTGGGGAAAAAAAATATTCTGGAGGTTGATGAACCTCCCAAAGTTTTAGGCTAGTGTTAAGATGCCTCTGGTTCTGTTAAAATCAAACTTTGTTAAAAGCATTTTGTTATGATAATATTCCAAATGGTTTGCCAACTTTCCTTTTAAATAAGGAAAGAAAGAGAAAGAAAAGAAAGAAAGAAAAGAAAGAAAGAAAAAGGAAGAAAAGGAAAGAAAAGAAAGGACATCATTTCTACATGTGTGATATCTGGAAAAATCCCAACAGATAAAACACTTTTAATGAGAAAAAAATTGCTTAATACTAGAGAATAATAACTGTTCTTTCAATGCCCACTTAAAACATGGTCCTTGTAGAACTGGGAATGTAACTTTAACATAGTTCCTATGGTTATTTAATCTTAGCAGTTTCAGAATTTAGTTTCATCATGATAGTTAATAGTTTTCTTCCCTGTCGGGCATCTATTGAGACCAATCATTTGAGTGCTAAGCACTGCTAAGCCACTGAAATAGGACAGCTTTTAATGTCTCAGTGTGGCTGAGCTTCAGTAAATAAATATTAATGCTTGCTTTGCCCCTTTGCCATTCTGTCTTATTTTGAGAGTTAATTTCGGAAGTCGTAGTCCATGGAGAGTTTTCCTGCACCATATCAATTTGTACTGTCTGACAAGATCAAGTTCTTGCAAGGAGAGCATATTAAGATGCAGCAACTGCTGAAAGTGGACTAGTGGTAACTAATCCTTTTGTTCTAAGAAAAACGGTTTTGCTGGCTCCCGTCGAAAGCTTTTTCTATTGAGCTTTATTTACACCAAGTTACAAAAAATTTAACACAGTTTTACAGGAAATAAACCTTAATTACCTGTTTCCTAAGTACATCACTCTTTTGTAAGCATTTTACACTTATTCTATGTCCTTATTTTGTAAAATCCATAAATGTGAAGATGGCCATAAAAAGTGCAAGGACTGTGTATATCTCTCCTTTGCACTGAAAATGCAACTTGGTTTTGGGCTGAAGTATTCCTGATACGCTTTTTGGGATGTTTTTAGAGTTTGGGTCCCTCCTGTATTCAGTGTACTCAAGTGTGTGGCTGGGAAACATTGTGTCTTTTTCTTTCTTCAATATATACCAGCTGAAAGAAATAAATCCCATACAGGTAGCTCTTCATTTAGTCTTAGCTTAAACACCTTTAATGTCATATTTTAAACAAGGTTTAGAATTGATTATGAAAACCACGTTATAAAGTGATAATGAAATAAGGATCTAAGTCTTCCAAGACAAAGAAAAATGTAAAACTGGAGTTGAAATCTGTAGATCAATCTGAAAAGAAAATAACCTATCACTTTTTTGGCATTTCCTTTTATTGTCTAACTGGACTTAAAAATATAGAAATTCAACATTTATTGAAGGACCCAACTGGTAAGTACAACATTCACTTATCCAACAAGTATTTATTGAGCACTTACTATCTTTTAAATACATTGCTTAGCCCTTGGCATAGAGAAAAAAGACTCAGGTCCCACCCTTAAGTTGCTCACACTCTATTAAGGAGCCAGATATATATTATTATTAGCATGTGATAATGATAGAAATAAGGATCGCGGTAGGAGCATGTAGCAAGGAGAATTGGCTCATTCCACGTAGGAAGTGAAGGTGATGGGGAAACGTCCTGGAGGAGCAGATATTTGGTAATTATCTTGATTAATGAGTTCATGAATAAGAGTTATCAAAGTGGAAAAGGGGGGGGGGCGAGTATCCCATCCAGAGGGAATAATATACACAAAGACATAAAGGGGGGAGTAGCATAGATGCTACAGTCACGTCAGATGCTCAGCAAGGGACAAGCCTGGGAAGCATGTCGGAGCCCAGAGGAAAGGCTTTGTGGACCATGTTCTGGGGGTTGGGCTCTTCTCAGAGTAATGGGCTCCTCTTCTATTTTAAGCAGGGCTTCCAACATGATCAACTTTTTGGGCTGGGATCCGGACCCAGACAGCAGTGTGGTGTGTGAGCTGGGGGGCGGTTAACGTAGGAGACAAGACAGTCAGGACAGAGTCAGCAGGGACGGCCCAAACCTGGCCCTTCATCTGGTTTTTGTGTGATTCCCTGAGCTGAGAATGCTTCTTATACTCTTAAGTGATTGGGGGAGGGAGGAAAAATAATATTTTGTGATATAGAAAAATGATACACCCACAAAAAAAGTTATCCTGAGCACAGCCTCCATTATGTATTATGTCACTGTGTATAGCATAAGTCGATTATGGTCCTCAAAGCCTAAAATATTTACCATTTACTTTACAGAAGAAGTTTACAAGCCCTCAGGAGGCTGTTTAACTCAAAAAGTCAAGAGAGCTTGAACTCTGATGGGCTCAAATGTACATTTTAAAAGGCCATTAAAAGGCACCGTGAAAATAGATTGGTTGAGGAAGAGCTGATTGGCAAGAACCCACTTAGAACGTGAGCTCCATCATAGTCCTGGGCTGAGATTGTACCAATAAATGGAAAGGATACAGCACCTTCAAGAGGCACTTTGGGTAGAAGCCAAAATTACTCTCTTTTGGGTAGAGAATAAGAGAGGCCAGAATGAAAGGTGACGCCAAAGTTTCTAGCCTATGCTAATGGGGCGATCCATTAACCCAAAAAGGGAACTTAAAAGAGTCGCAGAGGAAAACAAGACGTTTTATTTTGGAGCTCAGGTGAAGATGTCCAGTGTAGGCCTGTTGTGCGGATAAAGGTCATGACTAGAGGCTTAGCTCTGGGTGCTTTTACGGAGAGACAGTAGGGGAAGCACCTAGAGAGAGTCTCTTTTTAAAGTACTATGGAAACAGAGCTAAGGAGGCGGGAATGGGCCCCAAGTGTATAGAGAACGATTCAAAAGATGCCTTGGTGAAGCAACAAAAGTGTATACTTTTCTTCGGGGAGGCCCCTAGGTGTCCTAGGATTGAGGAAACTGAGTTTTACTATCTCCCCCAGACATCCACTGTCTTTGCAATTCTTGACAAATTACTTCATTCTTTGAGCCTGCTTACTTGCCTATAAAGTGAGGTTAGACGACACGATTTCCAAATTTCCTTTAGGTCTGAAAGGCAAAGATTCTAATGGTGGTTTAAGACAGTGCATTAAGTTCCTATTTCCAGATGTTAGGCATTTCCGTTGCTTGGAGTATCCTTTGTTTAAGATGCTTCCTTAGCTTAAACTTCAGAGATTCCATAGAAATATCCTTCCCGTCCACCATTGACATTTATCGTAATTCAGGCTGACCTGCATGAGGGTTATGAAAACAGTCCCTTAACATTCTTCCAATCTCTTTTGCCAACCACAGCCAAGTGAGTATTGGTGAGCACTGCCTTGACCCCGTCTCCTGCTCTCAAAACCTGCCGTGGTAGCATGCTGACTGCTACAGCAGGTCTGGGCCACTCAGCATGGCAGGTGCCCCGGAGTCCCCTACCTGCGCATGCTGACTTCGGGCCAAACCTAAGCTGGCGCAGCCCCCATGAACTTTTGGACGCTTCTCCCCCTTTACTGTTCTCCACACCTAGCATACCCCTTACCGTTCTCTAGCTCTGTTGTAACCTGGCCTTCTTTTCCAGGTCCCCCTGGAATCCTGACTTGTCCACTGTAACCCTCCCCGGTGACCCCTGCCGGAAGGGGGCACGTGCGTCTCCCTGTGGGTCCTGCTGCCCATTTAGAACTGAAGGTGCTTAACTCCATGCTGAGTGAGTGAATGAATGAACGAGTGTTCTGGAGTTTTTATGGAGAGCCCTTCTGGAATGTCTTATTCTTCAAGGTGGGGGAGAGATCTTATTAATATCATATTTCTCAGAGCACCTAGCTCAGTCGTTTGCAAAGAGTTGGAGCTCAGCAAGTCGTTATAGGAATGGTTAATATATTGGGAGTTTATGGCTATTCATTCAAAACTCAGTATGTATATACGTATGTGTGTATATGTGTGTGTA